AAATGTGTTTTCTTAGAACTTCAATTCTTTCACGTTGTAAGCATATGCTAATTTCATAACAGGCAACTTTTTCTTCCAGGACCAAGGGCTATGAGGGAGCTTTGCAGGAGAAATTGAAATACAGCCCAATATTGCATATATCCATGAAATACAATCCTCCACGCATCTACAGGGCTTTTAAAGCATGATAGCTTAATCGGAATATTTTTAGCACAAGTTCTTACCAAAGGACTATCACACCATTTGCAGTGAATGCGTGAGTGGCAAGAAGCTGTGCTACAACTTACTTTAAGAAGAAATAAATTCACTTAAGGGAACCAGAACTGGGTTCCACTACCCCTTAATTATTAATAGATGGCAATATTGAGTGGGAAGTTAGTGCTAACTTTTCTATGTGCAATTTTAGAATTATATATTGGTTGTGATATATTTATCATTTACAGAATATTAGGCAAGCAAGATGCTAGAATTTTATGCTAAAAGCTTATCATCTTAAAAATGGGCAGGACAAAACCACAGAGGTAGCAGAGATTTGATGATATCAACAGTGGAAACGCAGCTTGTAGGCATAAGAAGCCATCCTTTGCTGAGTTATGAAGAAGCAAGGTGACGCGGAATAAAACACCTTCAGTGGATTCTCCCCTGGGCATCTTGCTCAGGCAGTTACCAGCCCGGCGCCAGCAGTCCTGTTCCACGCAGGCGCTCTAGGGAGCTTCTCCCTCCCAGGAAGTGAAGATAAACTTTGGGAAAGGCGGGGCCCCAGGGGACCTGGACCAGAGCAAAGAGATGACACTCTGGACCTTGGAAACCTGTTGGGGTCTTTATTCCATGTCCCCCTGCTGGCCCCATGGCCAGGTACAGGTAGCTCACCTGGGAGGAGACCGCAGCGTGTGGCAGCGCGCGGCCCTCCAGGCTCTGCAGAGCGCTTCCCCGCACGTCGGTCACCGCCTGGCCTGGGAGCACCCGCGCCCGAATTTTCTCTCCGTTCAGAGTACAACCCGGCCCTTCCACCATCTCGTCGGCCGGCGCCGTGGCCCAGTCGCTGCAGGGCCTGCCGAGAGCCCTGCGCCGCAACTTAATCTCCGCGCGCGCTCTGACGCCGCGGAGACCGAGTTCAAATCTCGCGCGCGCCCAGCCTCGCCCCGGCCACGCCCACCCCGCCCTCGCCGGTGGGGGCGGCCCTTGCGGCGCATGCGCCGTGACTCCCGCAGTCCCCAGGGCTTGAGGTGGGGTTGTTGACAAACGTGCGATCGCTGGGTAAGTGGAGCCCAGCCAGCTAGGCTGACCAGGAAAAGCAAAGGAAATCGGGTCTTCAGAAGCTCCGGTTATTTTCTCTGCATTAAGGGTTTGTCCTTGTCTTTGAACTATGCAGTACATACCAATTTTTCTGACCTGATCCTCTTAATCTGTTCTAAAATCCAAGGTTGTCGCAGACAGTCGTCTGACAGGCCTCTGTTTTTGGCATGCTGTATTTGGACGTGGGTGGGAGAAGAGAGACTAAAACGATGGTTTTTAGAACAAATAGCTTTAATTTATTTTCAATCCTGTAGGTTTAGCGTGTCCTAGAAAAAGTAGCTTTACATGCCAGGTCTGCTTTAGTGTCTATATTAAAAAAAACTCTTCTTTCTAGATAAGTGAGCTCTCCACAAATCCATGCATACATTTTGTTCTTTGATACCCCAAAATGAATGCTATTTGAAATTGCTTTGTAAAAGGTAGAGCTCTATATAAATTAGGGAGTAATGCACATAGCTTTTCAAATTTACCCACAATCTGAGCAAAGATGCATAAACACATACATAAAAATATATGAAGCTAATGACTCTACACAGTTCTGTGAATTATGAAGAGTCTATTCTTGTTTGAAAATTAAAATATAGCACATTAAAACAGGATGTCAATTTAGAAGTAATTTCATAAACATCACTGTGCTGCATTTAAACCAGAAGAACATGTACAGATGGTCCTGGACTTATGGTGATTCACCTTACGATTTTTCCACTTTACAAGGTGCACACGTTATAAACATTCAGTAGAAACCATACTTCAGTACGCATACAACCATTCTGGTTTTTATTTTCAGTACAGAATTCAATAAATTACATGAAATACTCAACACTTTATTGTAAAATGGGCTTTGTGTTAGATGATTTTGCCCAACTATAGGCTACTGTAAATGTTTCGAGCATGTTTAAGGTAGGCTAGGCTAAACTACGATGTTTGGTAGTTTAGATGTATTAAATGCATATTCAATTTCTGATACTTTCAATTTCCAATAAGTTTATCAGGACATAACACTGTCATAAGTTGAGGAACATCCATATATTACAGACTTGAATTTGAATATACTAAAGACTTGAATTTGATAATGTGAAAAGTATTAAATCTTTCTCTT